CTAATTTTAGAATATTTCATTACGCCAAAAAGAAACCTCATACTCATTGGCAGTTACTCCCTATTCTGCCCGTCCCTACCCCTAGCCCTGGGCGACCAATCTCCTTTCCCTCTCTGTAGATTTAAACAGATGGCATTTCGCCGCTTTAGGTACTTTTCCTACAATGAGGGTGTGCCATACATCAGATGGACTGACGTCTTTATCAAGATTTCATGACCCATATACAAATGGCCAAGAAGCACAAGAAAAGATGCTCAAAATCACTGATCATTAGGGAAGTGCAAATCGAAACCACAATGACATATCATCTCACACTCATTAGGATTGCTATTACCAAAACAAACAAACAAAAAATCCCCCAGAAAATAACAAACAAGGATGTGAAGAAATTGGAACCCTTGTGCACTGTTGGTAGGAATGTAAAATGGTGCAGCGACTGTGGAAAACAGCATGGCGTTTCCTCAGAAAACTAAAAATAGAATTACTGTATGATCCAGAAATTTCACTTCTGGCTAGATACTCAAAAGAATTGAAAGGAAAGTCTTGGGGAGATAGATGCACATCCATGTTCATAGCAGAATTATTCTCAATAGCCAAAAGGTGGAAGCAACCCAAGTGTCCATTGACTGATGAATGGATAAACAAAATGTGGTCTATCCATACAGTGGAATATTATTCAGCCTTAAAAAAGGAAAATTCTAACACATGCTACTACATGGATAAAACTTGAAGACATCATTCTAAGCGAAATAAGGTACTGATAAAAAGACAAACATATTGTGTGATTCTGCTTACATTAGTCGCCTAGAGTAGTCGAACTCATAGAGACAGAAAGTGGAATGGTGGTTGCTGAGGGAGGGCAAATGGGGAGTTATTGTTTAGTGGATACAGAGTTTCAGTTTTGTAAAATGAGAAGAGTTCCGTAGATGGATGGTGGTGATGTCTGCACAACAATATGAATGTACTTACTACCACTGAACTATACACTTAAAAATGTTTAAGATCGTAATTAAGGTTACTAATCAGTTGCCTTTAAGCTAATCAAAAGGAGAGTATCCAGGTGGGTCTGACCTAATCACACGAGTCCTTAAAAAGAAAATTATTTTCTCCAGCTGGTAATAGAAGAGAAAGTCAGCGATTCAAAACAAAAGGGGGGTTTGAGGCACTGTTGCTAGATTGAAGATAGAGGCGGCCACATGGAAAAGGCATGAGACTGGCCTCTAGAAGCTGAGAACAACCCCCAGGCGACAGCCAGCACATCCTGCCTGGATTTACGACCTACAGAACTGTAAGAGAATGAATGGATGCCGCTTTAAGCTGCTAAACGTGTGGTCATTTGTTATGCAGCAGTAGAAAATTAATATGATCTCCTAATTGGGGCCAGAAAGGGAAGGAAGGCATTCTGGGGGGAGACGTGAGTCTCAGTGATTGACTTTGTCTTCTTCACATATTTCCACCTCCTCTAGAAAGCCTTACTCACCCCCTGGAGCCTCTGAGGATCCTCCGCCTCTGCCTTCCCATGTCAGTAATTATCTACCACTCCCTTGGCCCTGCGCACACGCTGCCTGCAAGAGGCAAGCCTCCGCTCCTCCCCAGTCATCTCGTCTTCTCATCTCTGGTCTAAGCACTTCCAACACAGAAGCCACAACTTGACCTTTTCCATATTCCCCAAAGTACCCAGTACGGAGCCAAGCACACAATAAATACTCACAAGTGTTTGTGGATTAAGCCCTTTTCTTTCCGCTCCAGTGATCTGCAGGGCCAATGAAGGGATTTAAAACTGCTCTGGCCGCAGGCACACCCAGAGCCTTTCCATTAAACCAGCTTCAGCACCTCCTGGGATTAACAAAGTGCCAAGGCAATACCCCATTTCTGAAGCATGACCTTTCGTTAAAACTGGCCAGTCACGTTTGCAAGCATGAGTGTGGCTACCATTTCTCTGAATCACAGTCTGGTTTGTTTGTTTGTTTAATGTTTGTCTACAACTGGAATTTGCAAACACAAAGGAAGCAAGAATAAGGATGGTGTGAGGTCTCACAAAATGCTCTACCTGTATTCGTTTCAACAACAAACTTATTCTGAATTCCTGCCATGCCCAGGCACCAAGCTAAGACCCTGGAGACAGAGGACTAAACCGGAGTGGCCCCAACCCTTGGGCTTGAATGCCGGTGTCCCGTGAGCACATGGTCAGGGGAGCAAGAGAGATCATGAGAGAGTCTTGGACAGCTTGGAAACCAGGAGATGGAATTTCTTCAGGTCGGAAAAACAAGTGACCACAGAACCAGGTCTTCTCCAGGCAGGTGGTGGGTGGGGCTCCCTTCTGTATTCTGCTTGCCCCCATGACTATGGGCCTGCCTTCTCTGCCCCACCCTAGAGTCCAATAGCATGCCTATGATGTCACTGTCTAGATGTGCAACAGTCTTGGCAAATTTCATCCCAGGCCCTCAAGCATGGATTAAAAAGTCAATCCATCACACTTGAATAGACCTTTACAGTCTACAAGTCACTGTCATGTTCATTGTCTCATTTGATCCTCCCAGGAGCCTTAGCAGGTGAGTGGGGTAAACATCATTTCCATGTCACAGATGAGGAAACTGAGGCTCAGAGAATTGAAGTGATTTACCCAGGGTCCCCTGGTTTAGAAGCCAAAAAACCATGTTCTTTCCTCTCTACCACCTTGAATCTAGTCTTTGGCCTCAATGGGAACTTAAACAAAGACAGGCTAAGCTCTTCCAAGCCGGCCTTAGTGGAAGGTGTTGAAAATTTCTCTATAGAAAGAATGAAGGAGACGGAGGGATCAGGAGGAAGAGGAAAATACAAAGATGCCTAATATTCTAACAACACTTCATACTCTTCAAAGAACTCAAATACTTATCTCATTTGGTTCACAGAACAATCCCATAACGTTAATAAGGCAAGTATTTTGTCACCGAGATTGGTTCAGAACTAGTCCCCAACTCTTCTGATTGCAGGACTCCTTCCATAAGGCAGGGGAGGCCATTCTTGCCACTCATACTCGGCTTCTGTCCCTTTGGTCCTGAAGGGTCGAGACCAGGAGACAACTGGATACCCTCTCTTGTATGTCCCCACAAGTCCAACATACAACGACCTTTCATGTCACTGTGTGTTCCCCTGCCAGACGCTGGCTCCAAAAAGCAGGCACCTTCCTCTTCTGGTTTCAGATTACTTTTACAGAACTGATTTTATATAACTGACCTACTGGGGAGAACAGAATCTGTTAAACTGTTGTTCATCCATTTAACAGCCATATTCTGAGCAGGAACTACTCTCGGCCAGTCCCTGGGAGTTAGAGAAATGAATCAGATATATTCCCTGCTAATGAGCAGCTCACAATCTAGTGGAACTGTGAAAACACAAAACTGATGAAGATATGACAAGATACATGACATTCACAAATACATGACAACATGGAATAAATGTCACAGTAGAGTTATAAGCAAAGGGCTGTAGAGGGACAGCAACAATTCTGACTGGTGGAAGGGAAGCATCTTCATGCAAAAGAGACATTTGGGCTGGGACTTGAAGGATGAATGAAGAATCCTGACAAGCGGGGAGATGCACACCGAGGACACAGCACAAACATTTGGGAAATGGGGTGGAGCCTCATATGAGGACAGCATAAAGTCTGCTTGGCCCCCAACCTCATTCTGAGGCTGAGTGGGATCCAGCTTAGACCTCCAGCCAGATCCAGGCTGGATCCTGACCCCAACTTGAGCAGACCCAAGACACCTAGACCACATGCCCCTTCCTTTGTCAGGTTCTAGGGTTCTTGAGGCAGATCCCACCAAGTCTTAACTGCCTCTTAACTACTCATCTTTTCTGTTCTCCAGCTGGTTCTCACGTGTGTTTTGCTTTCCCAACTAGACTAAAATGTCAATCTCCTGATTCCTTGAGAACACAGCCAGCAGGCGCCTATACCCTACCCAGCCAGCACGAGGCTGTGCACAGAGTAGGTACCAACAACCCATTTGTTGACTGGTTGCTGAAGTCTACAGGCCCAAGAATCACAAGACGACAGTCTACAAACAAGTAGAGCAAAAAGGGGCAGTACTTGTAATCCTCACCTGGGATGACAATGAAGACCTTAGAAGACACACACTTCTAGTTTTAGGATTACATTTTATAGAACTGACCTAAATTTAAATCAAGGGGCTCAGATTCACTGGGTCACTCTACGGGACTGCCCTGTATTTCACCTTCTGCTCTCTCTTAGACTAAGGTCCCAAGGTCCCTTTAATCCATTTTTCTAGTTCCTGATTGTCAACATCTTCCAATGAGGTGCGAAGGACAGCATAGTTGCCATTGCCAATCTGGAGACCCAAGGTCCAAGGCTGGAGGAAAGAGCAGAGTGAGGCCGAGGGGGGAGTGGGAGGACCCCGAGACAGAGTACAGCTTCCTCCCAGTTAATCTCCAAGGAGCTGAGATCTTATCTGAAGTGTTGGGTGGACAGAACCGACAAACAGGGAAATTGGATTGAGTCAAAACCCAAACAGGTCACAGACCCCCCAGGATGGAGCATGAGCAAGCAACTGATATAATCAACTAGGAGTTGGGAGGGACGGGGGCAGATGCAGAAAGGATCATGGGCCCAGGTGGGTTCAGGGCACAGAGCTTTAGTTTTGGAGATTATCTAGTCCAGCCCTCTTCTCTAATTCCATGGTTGAGGTCCTCAGATGCTCTTTCCTGTGCTGGACTAACTCTCTTCCACCCTGTGTCTCTCTCCACCCTTGACCCTCCCAATTCATCCACCACATTGCTGCCAGTGATCTTTCTCCAACCCACATCAGCTCAATGTCTCCCCTCTACCTTCAGGATAAGGTCCTAACTTCGCACAGCCTTTGAAGGCCCTTCACTGCCAGACCCAGGCAGACCTTCCAATCTAATCTCCTTTCCTCACCCTTACCCCTCTCTACCTTCCACTGACTTCATTCCACTGACAACATACTGCACAATATTCTCCAATGATATGACAGACTTACTCCCATCTGCTAGGAGAATTCCAATTTCAAGGTCCAGCTCAAGTGTCACCTCTTCGGTTAAATCTTCTCCTGCTCACTCATTTCCCCTAGGAAAGATGGGTTAGTTTCTCTTCTGTGCTCCCAGAACCCCTCCATGTAGCATTTATTACCCTGGTTCGCACTGATTTACAGAGACTGGGAGACCGTCAAGGGTTGGGATACATTTTGATTCTCATCACCCTCTTTGTCCTTAGTTAGCACAGTAGGAGTAGGTGTCAAAAAAAAAATGTTTCCTTAAAGAATGAACCCCTTTTCTTTATAGACACACAGTGAGCTCCTGGCAGAAGCCAATTTAAACTAGTTTGCCTGATGCCCAGATCAGGGCATTCCTTTCCAGGTTGCTTCTTCTACCTGTTTTCCATGGCCACACAGTTGGATGGCTCGTCACTGACCTGGACTTTGAAAGATGGGGACAGTGACAGACATTTGCAGAAGCAGGAACTCAAGCTGCTCTCTGTAAGGAGAGCCTTCTGTGCCTCTCCGAGGGAAGTGTTTTGATTCCGAAGGGCTTTGAACGGAGCTGTAGGCGGTGACAGAGCAGGTGAGTCAGCCCAGCCCACACCCGTTCTCTGCTGGAGAGGCCAGCATCTGTCTGTCTTGGGTGCTATGGGAAATGGGTGCTCTGAGCCAACTCAGGTCCCAGGGAGGGAGGGCTGCCGTCTTGGCCAAGGTCTCCCCGACCCCTGGTGGTGAAAGCAGGAGTGATGGCCTTTGTCTATCAGAGCAAACATAAAGGGACTCAGGGGGCACACGGGATAGCCTCAGAAAAGCTGCAGCCCATGATAAAGGTCAAGGGACACAGCTCACTCCTCTTTGGGCCCCATCTGGAGACAGACGTGGAGAGCCTTCCACCTAAGCTGCCTGCCCTCATTGGTGTCTCTTCATTTCTCCAAATTCAAAACCCCTCAAGAAAAACACAAGATGCCTTTCATCACCCATCCCCCAAACCCAACCAGAACATTTACCTTACAGTTGAATCTTGTTTTAAGCAAAGTCAGCATGTAAAGTTGAGGGATAAATCTTCACTTTACAAATCCTTTACACCACAAACAGCACCCCTGATGTGTCCATTCACTGATGGCTTACTGTGTGTAAGGTCCTCTGTTAGGAATTGGAGAGAGAGACAAATACTATTGAAGTATAATCCCACCCCCAACAAAGAAAAGATGCACGTCCAAATTGCTGTAAATACAGGAGATAACATGATAAATCCTTTAGGGCAGGCTCACAAAGGTGAGTTTGGGAATCTGGAGGCGAACGAGTTTGGAGGGACATCAAGGGAGAGGTGGCATATGAGCTGGGCTTTAGAGAATGGGTTGGACGTTGCCATTCAGAAATAGGTGACACAGCTTCCCGATGCAGGAGACTCAGCAGCAAAGGACGGAAGGAGGATGCACGCACTATGGATGGACTCAAATGTCAGGCTGATCTATGTGGAAACCCACACGAGTGGGCTGAAACAGTACATTTGACATGCCCAAGCCCAGGGACACGGGCAATGGCACAAGGAAAAGGCTCTGGACAGCAAAAGTACATGATGAACACAAACACTGCAGCAGCAGGGAGAGCCAGGATGGGCCTTGCAGTCAGATCAGCTCTACCCTTAATAGCTGTGCCATCTCGGACAAGTTACCTAGGCAAAGTCTTGGTTTTCTCATCTGCAAGGTCCCGACCTAGGAGACGACCATGAAAAGAAATGAGATGACAGATACGAAGCACCTGGCGCAGCGTCAGGCACCCAGCACGTGATAATACACACGAGGTTCCTTGTCCATGCTCAAGGGGCTTGGAGGACGAACAATAAATGAAAGACTTTCTGGGACCCTCTGGGAAGGAAGAGGCCAATGAACGGGGATTCTGAAGAGAGGAGATGGAGCAGGAAGAGGAAGCGTGGAGTGAAGGCCCCACGCCTTTAAGCTGAGGTTTCTGCCCCAGCAGGCCATTTTAGGGGTGCTGGTAAACTCTCCCCACCATTCTGCTTCTTGGTTCCTCCCTGAAGAATGCCGTGTTCCAGCAGCAGCACCAGCAATGCAATTAGCAGAACGGAGCTTGTGGGTGGAGCAATGAGTAGGAGTCAAGCAGGGAAGAGAGGCAGCACCTTGGGCTCCTGCCCAGATTGTGGGGTATCAGGAATCAGGGGGTGGGTAAAGATGGCTTCAGAGGGAGAAAAATTTTAATTCCAAAAGCTATCCTCCACTAGGAAAGCCAAGAATCCCAGGGTTTTTTTTTTTTTTTTTTTTTCAGATCTATATACCTGCTTTTTCAACCTGAATAGCCTGGCTTACTACAAACCAGCAGAAGAGACCCCAACAGGCCCCGGACTCACCTCTCCAGAGAGCCTCCAGTCCCTGCCGCTGACCCTCTCAGTCCCCTGGGGAACAGGCACAGCTAAGGACCTTTAGGGAGATTTCCCATCTAATCCTATCTAGGTTTGTTCCTCATCCATTCATTCATCCCACAAACATCCATAGAGGAACTACTATACACAAGAGAAGACCCCGGGGAGGCAGCTGTCAGTTTAGGTGTTCATACCGCCATCCCTCAAGCCGTTTCACTAGTCAGTTTCTTTATCTGTCAAACGGAGAAAACTAGGTTCATGGGAAGATGCAACGAGATAATGGACATATCTGGCACAGAGTAAGTGCTCAAGAAATGTAAACTATTATTATACCAGCAGACGTAAGATTGCTTGTCACGCTGGATATCTTTCATTTGTCCCTCCAGCTACATTCTTCATCCTTTTCCACCCTGTGCTGTGCCCTAGAATTGACCTGTATGAACTATATCAAGACTCCCTTGCCTCCTGACTTCCGGTTGGGTTTGGTCCACAGGGAGTCTTAACAGATCAGAGGGAGGGAGAAAGTGAGTACATAGTTTTTATTCCCTCAACTGCCTTCTGAGCCCCTTGCCCCAAAGTCCCAGCTCCAGGAAGATGACCCTCCACCCAGCCTTTCTGTCCCCAGGTGTAGGCATGGTGAGATCCCACTGTCACTAGCCCCAGAATACTGCACTCTCCAGAGCTGTTTCCCTTCACCCTGCCTTAAATTACCCTATTGAAAGGTGCCATGTTTTCTGCTGGCCCCTAATAGAGATGGGGTAGGAGGATGAGAACAGGCCTGGGCATCAGGAGACCTGAACTCAAGTCCCACCTCTGCCATTCACTCGCTCTGTGACCCTGGGCCAGTCTCTTTCCTTTGCAGTCTCAGCTTCCTCATCTCTAAAAAGAACAGACTGGACCACATGGCTCTTTTGTGCCATAATTCCCTGCCACTACTGGCTCTCTGTGAAGTTAAACCCAAGCAAATGGATGCATATAAACAAACAAACTTTCCTAGTGCAGAGGGCAGGTTAGCCAGCCAAGGAGCTTTCCCAAACCCCACATCACCTCATTCTCTTCCAGGAATCACCTAATTCCTTTCCAAAGACTTTCCTTTTCCTCTCAGGCCACCAGGGACCAGATGCCTAAATGATCTCCACTCCAAGGCAACAGCCAAGAAAACCCAGGAAATTAAAAGTAAATTCCCTTTCCTTTCAGTCCCCACTGGCCAACCCTGGTTTAGCCACAGAGGACCCTTCCCAGGTCCTAGCATGCCTGAGGGTCCAGGCAGGAAGCAGATACAAACCAACACCAATGCGTCCTCCACAGGGCTGCAAAGGGAAGTGAGGCCATCTCTGGGTGACAGCCGGCATCTAGGGCAGAGGGAGCCACCTAAGCCAGCATCCTGTCAGAAGACACCAAAGCCTGGATGGAGATCCCTGGCTAAGGACCACTTGATGGCGTACAACGGAATCTCTGAAGTCCTTTTCAGCTCCTGAAATTAGCGACTCAGGGAACCCCAAGAGCCACAAGAAGGACATCCCAATGAGAATATCACCCTCCCTGACCCCCGTATCTGGAGTGTCACCTGCCCTAAGTGCTTTCCCACCCACCTCGCCCAGGAGTAGGGGAAGGTGAGCGAGGCAGGGCTGGTTTCTGTTCTGGAGGACAGGAGAGGCAGACTGGATTCCAGCTCCTCTGAGCTTCTGGCGGGAAAGGGAGATGGAATAACTTCATAAAATTCTCAGTTCCGCAGGTGAAAACCACATCCTCACTGCCAGCACCGATTCGTTTTCGCCTTCTTCACATGCCCCAAATGCCTCCAGCAACCTGTGGCCGCACCCGCAACAACAATGAGCAACTTCAAGGCCTTTCCCGCTCTCGAATCTAGACTTCCGAGACCCTACGGGCGTCCAGCGGCCGGACAACGCACAGAGCGGCCTGAGGCCGGGACAGCCACGGGCACCGGCGCGGCTGAGGGCCGAGGGGGCGAAGCTCGCCGGCCCCACAGCTAGGGGACCCCGCTCCGCCCCGGGCGCTGAGTCACCGCCCACCCCGGCTCCGCGGAGCCCGCGTTCCCAGGAAGCGCCGCCGCGCGCATGCGCATGCGCGAGTCCCAGCGCGCGACTCCGGAGAGCGCGGCCCTGGCGCGGGCGGGGCCGGACCCGCGGCCGCGAGCCGGGGCGCATGCGTGGGGCGGACTCCGGTTGGTTAGGTTTGTCTGGACGCGGCTTCCTTGCTGCCGCGCTGCTGGTCTGCAGGGTCGAGGTGATGAGCCCATCAGGGACGCGTGAGGAGCTGGCTTGAGGCACGAGGCCAAGTTCGGCTAGGCGCCGGCTTCCCTGACCCTCGCAACCCTGGTCCAGAGCTGTCCCGCTCGGGGCCTCAGTTTCCCTTCGAAGGCAAGGGAGTGCACCGAGGAAGGCTGAGGCCCTCCAGCCGCGACGCTTGCCCGCAGACCGGACCCTGCCTCCCCAACCGCGGAGGACGCGAGCCCCGGAGACCGGTCCCCACGCAGGATGTCGCCCCCGCCAGGAGCGGTGCCGGCCAGATGATCGCAGGTCCTGGGCCGGGGGCCAGGAGCGGCCTGTGTCCTCCTCCGGCCCCGGGCACACAGGCCTGCGTGTCCTCGTGTCCCTGGTCACCTGGGATGGAGGGACCGAAATGTCACAGAGGTCCAGAGAAGGGACACAGATTTGGTCTGCCCGAGCTAGCGGGGGTCCGGGGCTCCTAAGTAGGGCCAGGCTGATGGGACGGGCTTCCCGCCGCCTCCTCACGGGGCTCCAGCAGCTGCTTCCCAGCTCCTAAGCGTGGGGCAGCGTCAGGGGAGGACAGAGACCCCGCGCCCCGCGCCCAGCAGGCCGTGGATCTCGGGTGCAAAGGGCACTGCCCGAGGGACACTATCTGGGTTGCCAAAATAGGCTCCTTGATGCCAAGTTCTCACGTCTCCAGTCAGCTCCGGCGCTGCTGCCCGCCGGACCTTCCCTGCTTCGTGGGCCCCTCTGGCCAGAAACTTGCAGTGGCCTCAAGCCCAGACCCCCCGGGCTTCTGTTTAAGGACCGGTTTTCCTCAACTCACCTCATCTCACCTTGATTCCTCACCAGCTACTCACGGATGTCTTCCTTTCTCTGAGTCTGGGCCCTTGATCTTTCCCCAGGATCTATCTCCGTGGTCTCTGACCTTCCAAACCCACCATCCCTCAAAGCGTAGCTAGAATTCCACCCCCTTCCCAAGCTTGCTCACCCCCTGGGTGTCAGTATTCTCAGGAAAGTCCTGATGTTCTGTGAATGGATTCTCCTTGACAAAGGTAATTTATTGAATGTTAAAATAAGTTTAACAGTCTGCATGCATGGGTAGGGCTTTTCAAAGAATTACGTTTGCAAATGAGAAAGAAAATCCTCCACCAGACCATGTATCCCGATTTATGGTTTGGAAAATGTGGTTGCTTCCTCCCTGAAGACTTCCCTGATCACTCTGGCTCCGTGCACGGTATCCCTAACTCGATTGTTAGCTCCCCTAGGGCAGAGATTATGTCTGAATAAATATGTAAAAAGTCCAAATCTTTTGAAGTTGTGATGGGAAAAAATTGAGAAGTTTGGAGAAAATGAAATATAACCAACAAAGATTTTTGCACTCTTCACAAATACAAAATCACTCTTTTTAGTGTGTCAGAAAAATATACTGTCACTACTTGGTCTAGGCTCCAGATTAACACAAATCAAGGTGGTAGAATATGGTGTAAAGAATAGTGGGGTGGGTAGAAAAGCAGCCTTTTAGTTGGTGGCGTCATGTTTTAGCTGGTGAACTTGGCCTTAACTTCTCTGGAGATGCGGTCTCCCGTGCCGGATTCGGATTTAGGGATAATAAATACACCTGCCCCTCTACTGCACAAGACAATGGTGGTGAAGATCAAATGGGAAATGGAGTTAAGGGTTTGTTTTTTTTCCTTTTAAGCATTTTTTTGTTCTGGAAATAATCCTCAATAAATTTACTAATGAAAACTACTTTGAAATGTTTTCAATTTTGTTACTAACAAGCTTCAAGGTGCTGACCAACCATTAAAAAAATCAGGCAATTCTGAGTTTTGCCTTTTTGTGAAGAGGGGGGAAAGTCCTTGGGAGCAGAAAGACCACATCAAATGTGACCCCAGGCAAGTAACCTAGCATGAGTCAGGTGTCAGAGTTCCGGCCCTCCCACTTACACAGGCCATCATCTCCAATGCTCGGACCATGTCTCCTCATCAGCAAAATATGAATAATAATAGTAGTAACATTTACCGAACGCCTTCTGTGGGCTGTGTATTGTTTCAAGCATGTTGCATGTACAAAGTCATTTAATCGTCACAACAACCCCACGAGAGAGGAACTATTAGTATCTTCATTTATAGGGGAGGAAACTGAAACACAGACAAGTTAAGTCATTTGCCTAAGGCTGCCCAGCCAGTAAGTGCTGGTGCCCAGAATGAATCCCAAGCAGTCTGACTCCAGAGCCTGTGCTCTTGTCTGTGCTGGGCGGCTCCCTCCATGTGGGAGGATTAAATGAAATAACGCACATAAAGCACTCAGCATGTGGCCTGGCGCACGCCATTCGAATTACCACGGTATCTTACGGTGTATGTGCGGTGATGTCTACAGTCTATACCCTGTTCCTGGCACAAAGGAGGTTCTGTGGATGGTTCCCTTCCCCACTGACGTCATGGGAAAACAGAACGTGTTACACAGTGCCGGCAGAGACAGAAAATGCTCATTTACGCGTGTTCTCTTATCCTTCAGATGAGAGATTGGCACAGGGAAGACCTCAGAACCCACTGAATACACCTTTGCTACAGGCAAACCCCTGTCACTACTCTTCTGTTCCGTTTTCCTGATGCTTCTCCTTCACTGCCTTTATGCTCTTCTAAAGAAAGATTAAGGTTTCCCTGGATTGGGAAAGGCTTGTGCCTCGTGTCACAGAAAGTGGAATTGACATGAAATTTTGCCAGTACCCGTGAGTTTTCCAAGGCTCTGACTTTCTCCTTGGTTCACTGGGATAGGAGACAACAGGCAAAGCCCAGGAACTGGTAGGGTGTCCTCCTACGGCTGAATCTTCTGGGTCTCCACCCTGGGTTGGGCATCTGGGTTCACCCCACGCATGCATCTGCCTACGCACCTGCTCCCATAATCTGTAATCCACACATTATTCATGCATTTACTTCGTCACAGCCATTCCCACCTACTCACCCGAGACAGACCTCTTCTCCCTGGGCCCCTCCACACAACATATAATGCCCAGACGCCTCCCTTACTCCCTCCAAACCCACTTACTCCTTCATTCATTCTGATGGCACATAGGGGATGAGCCCCACGTGCCAGGCACTGTGCTAGGTACCTGGGCATCATTTGACCCCAAATACTCAATACACATCGGCTTCCCCACACGCACAGACTTTACACGCATGTGTTTGCACACCCCTTATACGTATAACCGCATGTAACCCCCATATATGCAGAGGATACGTACACGTACCGGTAAAGACCTGCTCTCCGTTCAGCCGCTCACACTGTCTGGCTCTGTTTAGAACAGTCTGATTTTGCTTCCTCCATTTTGTGTTCTGTTTCCCTACCATCTTCATGGCAGACTTAACCTAAAGGTGGTAGATATGAGCACAGCAGGTTCTGGTGTGTTATATTTATCTTCAAAGCAGACCTCACCTACCTCCCCTTTTCCAGGGAAAGCTCCGTACTTCTCCCAGTCGTGGGAAAACACCACTTGCAGTCACGGGTGGGACAGGTGACCTGGGGCCGGGTGGGTGGGCAGCAGCGGCCTTGGTTAGGTCAGCATGTTCAGACTGTGGACTGTGGACCCCCAATTAGGAGGAGAGCAAGAGAGAGGAACGAAATGAACCACACTGCCCTACGTATCCCGCCCCAGGAGCAGCCCCTCCCAACCTAGGAAAACCCAGAGCAGGCAGCGCGTGCTGAATTCGGCATCCTCCCTGGCTTGGCTCCATCAGTGGTGGCGTGTTTTTAGATCTCACTTAGATCTCACTCTCCCCTTTCGGTTATTTCCGACTCCTCCCTCCTCCCCCAGCTCAGTTTCTTTCCGTTTTAAAACATGCTCTCGCGCAGGGGTGTGAAACCCTCGGGAGGACCCCAGAGCTAAAGCTTCAAAACCAAGGCAGCTCTGCTCGGAAGGGGGGGCACCACTTTCTGCAGAAGCCAAGGCAGGTACTGTCCTTACCATTCAGGACAAGCCTTCCAGCTGCTTCCACCAGAGCCTTCAAGTACCAAGGGGGCAGTTGTGTGGTGGAAGGTGTAGAGCAAATGGTGTGACTGCCTGAGCCACCTCTGAGATTGGGATAGATGCTTCAACAGCTCCTATCAAAGGGCTACCACCACGGATGCCGAGGCAATGACAAACTCAGGTGCTGAGGAGAGAGCATTTCTTCAGGGTTCCAATTACATAACAGGAGGCCTTGGTTTCATAGCTGGCTGCAGAAGCAGTCATCTTTGATACTGGGAGGTAACAAGCAGGAGGGAGCTTGAGAAGGCGCCAGGGGTATCCAAAACAAGGGTGGGCAATTTATAAATTTTCAATCTAACTCCAAGAAACTCAAAAATTAGTACATGGGGGTGGGAGGAGATGGGAGAGATGGAGGCAGAGCACAGAGGATTTTTAGGGTCGTGAAACTACTCTGCGTGATATTATAATGATAGTCACATGTCATCATCCATTCGTCCAAACCCATAGAAGGTACAACACCAGGGGAGAACCCTGGTGTAAACTGTGGACTCTGGCTGATTATGATGTGTCCGTGTAGCTTCCTCAGTTGTAACAAACGTCCCACTCTGGCAGGGGTGTTGACGATGGGCGGGCTGTGCAGGTGTGGGGCAGGGACTATAAGGGAAATCTTTGTACCTTCCTCTCAATCTGTCTGTGAACCTAAAACTGCTCTGAAAAAACAATGCCTTAGTGAAAACTAGTACTCTTTACTAGATAAAAATAAGATAAAGAGGTTAAACTGGAGGATTAAACTGGTTGGAGACAATCAGAAAGTACGAGGTGTTAAAGAGAGATTGGAACTTTATTGAGACTTTCTCCCTGATGAAATCAGAATGGAAAGACACTGGAAAGGTTCCGCTTTGGAGAGAAACAGCAACTGTTCAGGCACAAATACTTACAGACACTCCTCTTGAGGGATCTCTGGATCCCGAATTTCCCCCAGTTCCCAACCCACCCACCCACCCCAAAGAGTCAGAATTCTGCTTGAAATCCACCTCCCCAGCGTGGGGCACAAAACAGCACTTCAAGGCCCAGCGGACTGACTGCAAGCCCACGGGCAGTCGGAGGAAAGAAAGTCCAGGGGTGAGCGGAGGACAGGAGGAGGAAGAAGGGGAAAATGCACGGAGAAAAGGAAAGCGGAGAAGACCACACTGAAGATGTCGCCCCTCTGAAGACAGACTCTTGTGTGAATGTATCAGCCTCATCCCACTCGCTTCCCCAAAGCCATAATGATATGAGCAGCTTGACGATGCCCGTACAGTTCTGCACTTTTTATGTCCCTCCTGCACTGGGGGAAACAGACGTGCCAGGAGTCACTGTGGGCAGTAGGGGCATTCAGGAGCAAGAGAGGGTGAATGATGGAGAGACAAGGCGAGGGCTGGGTTTTGACAAGAAGAAACGCAGCTCGCCCCTTGGATGCCCCCAGCAGACCCCTTTTTCTCCTCTGGCTGGCTTTGTCCTTAGAAACAATGTCCTGGAGGCTCTGGGGCCTCTGGTTTTCTTATGGGGGTTCCAGGCCCTCCACCAAGCCAAAAGCAGCAGCCCTTGTTGCAGCCATGCACCAGAGCACTAATAATCCCGAGAAACAGAAATTCCAAAATCACAGTCCTCCACGTGGACCTCATCTGCTTCCAGTTGCTTCCACTGGCTCATCCTCAGAGTGCCTCTCCCTCTGCCTTCATCTTCACTTTCCTCCTGGTCCAGGATGACTTCCTGGTGCTGATGGTCCTGACCGGTGCCTCATGGTGAAGTCGCTCCCAAGAGAGGCTGGCTCACTAGGCAGAAGAACCCCTCTGGGCAGCCCTGGGCCAGGTCTCTAGGATATATACAGACTGTCCACCTCCCCACTTTTCATCACAAGGCTTCTTCCCTCCAGGCTCCCCCACCCCTACCCCTCCTCCGTCCCCCATCCCCGCTGCCCTCCGAGGTGGCACACCAGCCAGGCAGGACTCTCACAGCCAGTCCTTTCTCTATGCCCTCTGGCACGCTATCTCCCTGATCTCTCTTGGACATTGTAATGCACACATATTTGCACTCATCCGTCCTTGAAGGTCCCGGCTTTCCTGCGGTGCATTTGGTGGGTGTCGGCATCAAGTTCAGGAGCAAAGCTGAACGTTAAGCCTTCGTTGCCACCAACACTGAGTGGCTGGTGCTGGTTCTGACTCCTGGGAGGTTACTCGGAGTTCTGAGTGTTGGCGCGTCAGGGAATGGAGAAGAAGGGAAAGGAAAAGCTGTGGTGATGAAAACCAGGAAGGAACAACTCTTCTGCCAAGCGTCTCCATGGAGAAGTTGTGGAAACAGCCTCCTCTTAAATTTGGGGGAGGTGGGCTGCCCAGAGATGTCCCTGATGAAAAGGAGCAAGGTTCCATTGTCCCTTCTGAAACCCAACGCCTTTGGGATCTGAGTTTTGCAAGACATGCAATAGACAAAGACACACTGCAAACCAATTAACCCTCTGAGCCCTTCCGGTGCTTTCACTGAAGTCACTTCCAAGAAGTAAATTACCTGAATACATGGAACGCTCATCTCTTGGGGCTGAGAAAGGGACCAAGCTTCCCAGCTGGCTCAGACGACTATGTCAGAGACATGGCATGGGGGAGGCAGATCCTTCTCCTTGTCTGGGACCTCTTGTTCTCTCTTGGTGTTCTGGGATTCTATACCATTCCCCCGCCCTTGAGGGAACAGGGAAGAGGGCCTGAGGGGGAGGCTCAAAACCCAGGTTGATTCAGACCCAAGAGATTTTCCCCTGTTGAAGTCAACTCAAGCTTAGGAGGCAGCTCAGGGCCGCAGGACACAGAAGACGGTGGGTGGAAGGAAGCCACAACGGGCCTGAGCAGTCCTACAGAACTCAAGCCTTCTCTATTCTCCCAGCTTATAGGGAAAAAAGGAATTTCAGCTGCTTTTAGCTTATTTGATTCATTAATTCAGTATACCCTAGAATTTAGCTGCTCTCTGTCCCTCTGAGACAGAACCCAGGGAAAGCAGGTGTGGCCTGACTTGCCTCAATCAGGCCCCTGAATTGAAGCAACAGGACAAATGCACTATAATTCACAGTTTCCACTCTCCTCCCTCAACCCACCCCTTCCCCCACCACTGGCCTCAATTGGCTCCCAGATCTCCAATGCGTAAGGATTTCCGCCAGCATGGCTCAAAGGGTTAATAAACCAGGACTTCTCAGACAGTTAGGACACAAGCTCATTCACCAACAGAAACCCGAGGATGGCAACACAGCAACCTAGGGCTTCCTATAGCGATTCTTCGGGGTTTCGCCACACCCTGTTTTGTCACAGTTGAGAGCACCTGGGTTCTTCCCCAGCCCGAGGCTCCCCAGGAGGCCGGGGAGCTCCTGGGTGATGGCCCGCTCAATCTTCTCCAGAAAGCAACCTCCCATGTAGGAGCACTGCTGCGACAGCAGCTTGAAACTGGAAATGGGGTTGATGCCAAAGAAGTCCTTATAGGCCTCGCGGTTGGGAAGGTCAAATTTGCTGACATTGGTTTTTGCCAGGATGGTCTTGAAGATGTAGAATTTATCAGGATCTTCCACAATGTCCTTGAAGACCAGTTCTCCATCACTGAAGAAGGTCATTTTGTCCTTGTAAGTCTGCAGATAGCGGTCAACCAAGAGGGCATGAATGCGGACCCGGATGGCATGCTGGCGGATGAAGGCAATCTTGTTCTCCAGTCTGTTCTCGATCACCTGGTTCAGGTCTTCCAGGAGGGAGATCTCTTCCTTGAGGAACAGGTCCCGGTGTGTGTCAGGCTTGTAGTCGTACGGCCAGAAGGAGCTGACGTAAACCCTTGGGGGCTCTGTGACATTGATGAGCGGGGCCAAGCTCCAGAAGAGGGCCCCATAGACGCGCATGAGCATCTGCGTGGCCAGGCTGTCGGCCTTGTTCAGGATGATCCTTATCTGGGACTCCCGCCCCTTCAGCTGGCGGAAGAGCATCTCCAGCTCCAGACCCACATCCAGCTTGGTGGGGTCAAAGACGACAAAGATGAGGTCAGCTCTGTCGATGAACCACTGGCACACGTCATTGAAGGGGTAACCTTGAGGAGAGGGAACCAGAAGTCAAGCTGAGCAGGCCTTACCCCGGGTTCTTCCAGAACCAAACCATTCCGTGGGGTGAGGGAAGTAACAACAGTAGGGATTTCCTGGGTTTCTGAAGACTTTTAAAGAATTTTAATTGTGTATCTCCTGCCGCTTGTCAACCTTTGACCAAGAACAACCTGATCCTTGCTTTAATGCTTCTAAGCTTTAGCGTTTTAGCTATAAAGTGTCAAAAAGAACAATGACACCCAAGTTGATATAAAGATTACTATGTTGCTATAAATATAGGAAAGCACCTAACTAAAACTGCCAGTCATGTAGTAGATGCTCAATATGTTTTAATTCCTTTAACTTATTTCCAAAATAAGGAGACTAGGAATACCTGTTTTGAAAATCTTCTACAATGACCAACCAGTGATGCATAAGATTCATCCGATGCATAACAGGAATGCAATAAAGGTTAAGTTACTATTATAATTATTAGTGATAACGTTATTACTAGTAATAAAACAAAGTCTGGTTATAAGCAAAATGAGAGTTATAACCACAAACAGAGATCCACCATCTGCTCATATATTCCTACAAATGCAGTTATGACTCATCTCTGCAGATGGCCTTGCACCACGGCAATGCTCAGTGGCCTGTGTCATAACCTAGTGCCTGCCAGCCCCGAAGTGGCACTCTCCTGCCACCTGAAGGCAAGTGGGGTTTTGGGAAGTCTGACACAGGCTTATGCTGAAGCAGGCGCCTGGTGAAGCAGAAGGTCAGGTTCAACCCAGACCCAAGTGAGCCAGAGGTCAAGTACACCTGGATTGGGACCCAACTGGTCCAGGTCTTTGATCTCAGGGGCAGCCTGGGCCTCCCAAAGACAGCTCAGCCCCAGCGTGGACCTCAAGGTGCTACTTACAGGGAAGACCAGCCCTCCCTCCCCTTAGGAAAATACTGATTGCCTCCCAACCAGATCCGTCCCCGGAGAGGTGAAAGGATAAGGTACTCCACACCTAAGTGGCATCACAGTGACAACAAGAAGGGACTGGGAGCAAAGAACCTGGTCTTGGACAATGCTGGCCACATTACCTCCCCCCTCCCTGCCTACCACTCATTGTCGAAAACAATTTTCGAAGACAAAGCTCTCGCTGTTCAGAAATGAGTGCTGAATTACCTCTTTCTTGCTGCTTGCGGTTCTCAATGATGCCTGGTGTATCCACAAAAGTGACCCGCTCCAGAAGTTTGTGGGGAACCTCGATGCCAATCAGCTTCTCCAGGAAATTCTGGCCAAACTTCTCGAGGGGTGAGAAGGACCGGGCGCTGTCAGCAGCCATGACAATGCCCTCGATGGTTTTCAGCTTGGGCCCGTGCGTGAGGACCGTGAACTCTGAGGTGGTGGGCTCAGCACCTGCACACACGGCACCAGGTTAGTAGGACTGCGGTCACCCCTGGGGAGGAGAGCTACCACAAAGTCATGGGGTGAGCAAGGTGTTCAGGGACGGTGTGCCACAGGAGTCGGATATTGCATTCGCTAAGCTCCTGGCTTCTTTTTTAAAAAATCGTGGTAAGATACACATATCAAAATTCACCATTTTCACCATTTTTAAGTGTGCAGGTAAGTGGCCATAAGGACATTCACAGTGATGTGCAACCATCACCACTATCCATCTCCCGAACAGAAACTCTGTACCCGTTAAACAGTAACTCCCGTGCCCCCTTCCTCCAGCCCCTGGGAATCTCTATTCTACTTTGTGTCTCTACGAATTTGATGACTCTAGGTATCTCATAAGTGGAATCACACAGTATTTGTCCTTTCGTGTCTGGCTTATTTCACTTAGCATAGTGTCTTCGAGGTTCATCCACGTTGTGGCATGTCTCAGAAATTCATTCCTTTTTAAGGCTGAATAATATTCCATTGTATGAATAGACCATGTTTTGTTTATGCATTCATCCATCAATGGATGTTTAGGTTGTTTCCACCTCTTGACCATTGTGAATAATGCTACTATGAAGATGGGGGTAGCTGCTGGTTTCTTGTATGTAATTTTCATTGTTATATTGAAGACATATATGAATGCTTTAATTTTTACAGTGTTCTTACATATGACATTGAAATACCAACAATCACACAAGAAAATCACACTGTTACCTGTGTAGAGCTGGTAGCGAGTGTTTTCCAACCCAAGGAGGTAGTTTATCATGGTGGATTTGCCAACGCTCCACGGTCCCAGGAACAGCACCATTGGCTTGGAAGTAATTTCCCCATCTGCGGGCGGCGGGAATTAGAAATGGAAGTGAACTAACAAAGTTCCTCACTGTGAGAGTGACACAGTTCTCCGTGCTGTGTCCCAGTCCATCTGATTGAACTGTGGGATTCTAGATTGGACCAGAGAGCGTGTAGCAATCAGTGGCACATCTCCTTCTACGCAAGTGCGATCACCCAGTTAAAAGACACCAGAAGACATCGTTTGGGCCTTGCACAGATCCTTGGCGCACTGACACCGGAAGGAGGGACTCAGTAAAGTCAACAAATACTGACTCAGAGCTCACCCTGGGTGAGGCCTCCTGATTTAGATCTGGAGGAGAACTGCTCATAAAAAGGGGAGGAGAGAGCTGCTACGTGGAGAGAGGTTAAAACTCTGCAATTGGGACTGGTAACAGAAGAAAGGATATGAAAGAAGCTTATACAACCTTGGACGACCTTGACTCGGGCCCTGCCTGTCCCGCGTGTCGCCCTCCTTAGCTGTGCTCCCCACATCCCACTTTAGGCTCAGCCCAAACCTGGGCTCTGGGGCCAGTCTCAAATATTAGTCTCCAAAGCCCACGACAAATTTGCCAGGTCCCAAGACCAAGCATGGACTCCGCATCTCTTGGGTTCTTGTCCCTGTGTCCAATGTGGGGGAGAACACCCTGCCTGGGCCACTGCAGTTGATGTCCCTAAGAAGAAAAAGCAGACTCCTCCAGTGCTTTCAAAACCAGAGGGCAGGGACTGGGGGAGGAATGCGTTTGGCATGGAATGCATCATTCTCGTCGCTGACTTGCAGGCTGCAGCTCTTCAGCCCTTCCCTGAACCACAGCAGAGGGTCACCTCTCCAGCATTTAGCACCTACAGCTCTCCAGACCTCTTCACCTCCCTGAGCCTGGAGAGAGGCCTCAAAACACTAGGCATTTCTTTTTCATTTGCCCATTTTTCCCAGTTTAATTTATTTAATATCTTCATTCAAAAATCAGAAGTATAAGAAGATATACAGTGAAAAGTCTCCCTTCCCTGTCCCCAGTCTGCCTCGGCCATCACACTCCCTCTGTATTCTTTCAGATATTTTAATGCATACATAAGCAGTATGAAGAGATCATCTTCCCCTCTCGTCACACACAGAGGAGCAGGGTCTCCTCCTTGTCTGCACCTTGCTTCTTGATGCGTTGGTTTTCTTTCTCTAAGGTGAAACTAATCCTAGAAGACCCAGATGGCATCTTGTAAGCAGCCGCACATAAATATTGCCTGAAATTGATACCGTGGTCCTGCCCCATCCCTCCCTGCCTGTAAATACACACAAGAGCCGCTTGCATCTCCAGGCGTCAACTCCTGGCTCAGGGACAGGAAGGGATAGCCAGGCTGAGGGAGGGGAAGGAGTCCCCAGTTATAGCCACAGAGATCCTACCAAAATTCTTCTGTCCAGGCCCAGGTGACACCAAGGAGAGCTGGACCTTCCATCTCGCCTGTGAGAGAAACCACAAACAGGGCTTTTTGAGGGGGCCGCTGTTTCTGCTCTCCGCAGCACGGGGCGTGACTGGCATGTGCAGGAGGTGGCAGGTGAGACACCATGGGTGGAGGTCATGGGGAGAGGCTGCCCTGAGGCACAGCGGAGCGCCCAGCACTTGCAAGAGCCAAGGGGAGAGGAGCCAAACCCAGAAAGCGAAGTCAGGAACCAGAAGCCCTCCCTGCAGAGCACCGTTCCCTGGGCAGCCCACAGCCTTCCGGGCCAAGCCGCTGGGTCTAGGGGCTGCGAAAGAAGGAAGGCCAGTGTGGAGGACAGAAAGCACGGGCTGCGAAAGAAGGAAGGCCAGTGTGGAGGACAGAAAGCACTGGCGCCTGCACCCTCACGCCAAGGCCTGCACGTCCTCTGTGGAGCCAAGGAGGATAGATTGCTCTTTGGCTTGCAAGAAACAGGAGAGGTAGTTGTGAAACTGGGCAGATGTCTTCTCTCAGAAGAGGAGAAAGTTAGGGCTCCTAGCACCAGCCAGGATCCTGGGGAGCCCACCATTTCTCTGGACATCAGGGCCCTCTTCTGTAAAGCAGGAATAACATATACCCGCTAGTCCCCCATCCACTTTATAGCCATCAAGAGCATCACAAGGGATAACGCAGAAATAGCCAATCAACACAGAAAGAGATGTGCAATACCACTCACCATTCAAACAACAATTAGACGCCATTGTTAAATCTTTCAAAAATGAATAACACGAAAACGTGGGGGAACAAGAACTCTCCCACCCTGTTGTGGGTACAAACTAGGGCGACTGAAGGCAATTTAGCAACGACTATGACAATGTTTCATTCCAGCGTTCCACTTTTAGAACTTTATCCTATAAATATGTTTGCATGAAATATGTGACGATTATAGTGGTATTTGTAACACTGAAAAAATAGAAAATGGCAAACAGCCTATTTTCCATCAGTAGGATAGTAGTTATCTAGTGTGGTGCATCCACATGAGGAACAGAAAGAGCAGGGAGCCACATGCATACACATAGAGACACAGACACACAGGAAAACAGACACACACAGATATACAGACACACACAGAGATGCACAGAGACACACACAGATACACAGACACACAGAGAAACAGACACACACAGAGATACACACAGTTACACAGACATACAGAGAAACACACATACAGACACACACAATTGTGTGATATCATCCCATCTTTGTAAAACAAACAGAAAAGGCACGCTTGCATAAGCTCACGTACACAGAGGAAATGTCTAGAAGGATTCACGAGAAACTGTAACAGTGGGAGTCTCTGGGAGTGGAATTAGAGAAGCTGGAAATCAAGAAAGGGGTTTTTATTTTTCAATTCATACTGTTTTGTACTATTTGAATTTTTGGGGGGGGCAACAAGTATACCTCATTTCCATTACTTTGAAAATCAATTTTTAAAAGAATCCAGACCCAAGAAAAGCCAACCAGAAGGAGTGAGGAGGAGGAGGGAAGGAATCCAGGCCAATGAGAGGCCTGCAGACATGATCTCAAGTGACCAGGGAGCCCTTGAGCCCACACGGGATCGAGCAGGCATCACTGCCCTTGGAAGCCAGGGCACTACGACACCTGAGCGCTTACTCATGAAATGGTCTTCGTGACACCCCGTGCAAATCGTGGGGCACGCTTTCAGGGAAAGCATCGTTCACATGACTGAAGTCTCTGTCCCTCTCCAAGTCCTTAGGAGAGGTCAGCTCCACGTGTCCTCATGCCCACCGTGCAGGGAGCTCAGGAACCCACAAGGCCACTGGGGAGTGTGGACAGGCTGGAGGTCAGGCTCAACCTCCGGACGCGAGGGGGTACCTGTGATCTCGTGCTGCCGAAGCTCGTTGTACTTGTAAGACTGCTCCAGGGGTTTGATGGACGAGTGGTAGATCTTTCGAAGTCGCTGCAGTACCACTGGGGGCAGAGAAGGGTGAAGGGAGAGGTCAGGGGGGCGCTCCAGGTGGCTGAACCGCTATGGAGCCGTCTATCTCCCCAGGGAGTCCCTGGTGGGGAGCAGGGCCCGTGTATTAGCATTCCTGGAGGGAGCTGGCCCACATCCCAACCCTCAGAAAGCTTTAAACCAGAAGGCATTCCCTCCCCATCCTCCAAAGCCCCTGGACTTTCTTTTTAAATCTAACCCTCTTCTCTCTCTTTGATAGTGTGTCCCGAAGCTCCGCCTCAGCCGGCAGCTACTGAAGGCCTTTCAATGGCAGATGGGAACTGCCACAGAACTGTCCCCTTCTTCCCTCCTTGCCTCTATGGTGCCTGCCTGGGGCTTATAGGGCAAGGAGGCACAGCCACACTGGCCCCTGGCCTGTCACGCACTCCCCACTGCCCCTGGGAGGGTTCAGACATCGCAGGTGTCTTCTCGGGAAGAGTATGGCTCCAGGGAGAAGTGACTCACTGGCGCAGAGAGGGAGGAACGAGGGACAGAGGCCGGGCCTCTCTGGACCCCAGCCCTCCCTCGCGCTGCCAGCCCCTCTCTAGCTGTGTGCACAGCAAACCGCTGCCTCACTCTGAGCTTTTGTTCACTCATCGATTGAGAGGAGACAAGCCCCACTGAAAGCCTTGAGTGGTTACAAGGATGAAATGAAATACCAGACATGAGAGGGCATTATCAACTGTAAAAATCAAAGCAAATTGATGAACTCTTCTTAACAACCCTACCTGGCTGCAGCGCCAAGGCCAGCACCGTCCCGGCAGCAGCACCAGGATTCGCCCTCTACACTTCCGCTGGTCCCTCTGCTGGGATGGCCTTTCCTCCTCCCTGCCAACCCAGAGGCCCGAAGCCTTGGACCCTCCTGGGGGAGCCTCCTCCAGGAAGCCCCCATCTCCAGGGCTCTCCTCCCTGGGGTGCCCGCCAGCCCCAGCGGCCCAGCCCCCAAGGCGCTCCACCCCCAGGCCCAGGCCTCCGGTTACCCGGGTAATCATCAGTCGGCTTCTCCTCATTCAGCATCAGAGTTTTCTCAATGTGGGAGCGGTCTCTCAGTGGGGCTTCTTCACTCACATCCTCCGCCTCTTCTGGAGAGAGAAGCAGAGAGCAGGGTTAGGGCAAAGCCAAGAGCCAGCTGGGCTCCCAGCGCCCCCGGAAGATGGGCAGGGGCAGGCAGTGAGAGGGGGCTGCACAAAGGCTCTCCAAGTTTGACTGAATGGAGTTCTGTCTCTAGGAGGGACTTTGAAAATCCACACTCAACTTCTGTTAAGCTCCACGGTCCATTTTACGCCTTCAGCAAACATTGACTGAGCACTGACTGTGTGCCGAGCACCGAGCATCGCGCTGGGAATGCAGTGGTGCCCAAAACAGACGAGCTCCTGCCCTGGTGGAGGTTTCCTACAGTCTAGAGAGGAGAGGGGAGGAATGACCTTAAAAGTAATGTAATGATTACAGCCAGTGATGCAGCCATGGAAGGAAAGATGCCAGAAGCTATGAGGGCCTAAGAAGTGTGCCTGGGGAGTCTTAGCGGGGGGAGTCCGGACACTTCCCGGAGGGGCCGCCTGGGCGCTGAGATCTGCTGTGAGGAGTCATTTAGGGGAGGGTCAGGGCAGGAAACAGGAGTGATTCAGCAGGAAGTAGGAAGGGTGGCTGGGCCGCAGGAGGTGAGGGTTGTGTGCTGGGGGCAGGAGAGTTCCACAGGGGCTGACCTGCATGGTCTTAAAGGCCACATAGGAGTCTGCCTTTCATCCTCAGGGCACCGGAAGCCAGGAAGGGGTTCTACGCAAACAACCGCCCTGATCAAATGAGCATTTTTATCAGGCACAAGGGGGCTGTGTGGAGCACGGTCAGGAGGAGCCTCTGCACAGCGTCTGGGGTGTTCAACTGTTGCTTCTGACCAAGCAAGAGATGCCCACGACCGCCTGCAGGCTCCTGGGGAGGCCGTTACTACTGGAGCCCATCGCACCCAGGATTTTAGGTGATTAGAAGCAGGACGGACTTGGGCCTGTGGGGCAGAGGGAGACCAGTTCCACGAGGGGTGGGAAGCAGAGAAGAATCAGGATGTGCAGCCTCCCAGGTGAGCGATTCTTTACGGAGATCAGACCCACACAGCCCGACCCCAGACCCAGAATAGGGAGGACAGGGAAGGGGGAGGAGCTGGCTGACTGCAGGCCCTCCCCCTACAGAGTGTGCAAGCACCTGACAAGCAGCATGGAAACTAAATCCTACAAGGAAACCTGTGGGGAAGCCACACTGCAAGTGAAGACTGCCACAGTCCCCCCATCCTAAAAGCCAGCCCTTGGTCTGGCCAGCATACTTGGTGAGGCCATGGAGCATCCTGGCCAGGCCTCAGATGTGACAGTCTCCAGTGCTGCCCAATGGCTTTGCCCTGCCCTTCCCCTGTCCCCGTCCCCCAGTCCTGAGAGGGCGGCTACTGCTGCTCCAGGTGGACATCTGCAGGATGTCACTGTCACAGCCAGCCTGAGATTTCTTATCACGATGCTGACCCTAGTCCCTGTTCACCCTGCTTAACATGGTCTAGTCTTCAAGGGGAGACCCCAGGTGTTAGCTCACCAACGTGGTCCCCCAGGGGCCTCCAACCCACCCCCAACCTGTACCTCTCTCCACCAGCCTGCCACGGGACCTCAAATCCTGCCACTATGTCCCTTGTCCTTCAGGTTAAGGCACTGGTCCGTGTTAAAGTGCATCGAGGGACTCTAATGGGCAGGCTCCTGTGGCCCTAACTCAGAAGTGACCAGGTCCCTCTGGGCCCTCCATGGTGTATCTTCCCACGGGCTCCCTCAAAACTGGGGATAAATGGCTAATGAGCAGCCCCAAAGGCACCTCATGGGCCAGGGACACTGGACGGGGCCTCCACCCAGAAAACCAGGCTGGCTCTAATGTCCCACCCTGTCCCTGCTGGTCCCACTACATACAAGATTCCCAGGAAGAGTGTAGCTGCCGGAGGCGGCAGGAGCAAGTTGAGAATCCCGTACCCTGAGGCCCCTCCTCCGACTCCTCTGCGGCTGCATCCTGGGCCTCGTCCCCCTCGAGCCCTGTATCCAACTCCTCTGGACTCAACTGGGCCCCCTCGTCCTCAAGGCTTGGGGTTCCTGCTGCTTCCTGGGGTTCCCCGGCTTCCTCAGAGTCACCCCCTTCTTCTTCTGAACTAGCCCCATCGCCACTGTCCTCTTCAGATTCTTCTTCCTCGCTTCCGCTGTGATCGCCACCCTCTTCTTCAGAGGAGGCCATGTCCTGGTCCTCCTGAGACATCTCTGGCGCCTGGCCCTCTGGAGGGCTGTCTTCCTGGGTGCCCTCCACCTCGGAGCTCTGTGCGCTCCCCGTCTCCGTGGCTGGGCTGTGGCCAGGCTCCCCCTGGTCCTCAGGCCCCTCCCTGCCTTCTGTGTCCACATCCACAACTCCATCTGGCCCTTCAGGTCCCTCATCAGGCCCTGGGCTGCCCTCGCCTCCTGTCTCAGGGGCATGGGCTTCCTCGACCTCCTCTGTGGTGGGAGAAGCCCTTGCATCTTCAGGCCCTACGGTTCCCGTTGCTGTTTCCTGCTCAGCGTTGACCCCTAGGATCTCCTCAGCTTCCTCAGGGACCACATCTCCCCTAGCCTGTCCGTCAGCCTCCCCACTGGCAGCTTCCTCTGTGGAGACCCCAAGCCCAGCTCTCTCTTCTGCTGGGCCCTCTCCCGCACTGAGATCTGGCCTCCCCTCTTCCCCGGGGCCCCTCTCCCCTTCTGGAGGAAGGGCACTTTCTCCTGGTGGGCGCACTTCTTCCTCCCCAGGCTCCGCAGGGTCCCCGAGGGGAGCCGACTGTGAGGCTGAGGCATTGGAGAGGCTGGCTTCGGGATCAGAGCCCGGGCCGGGGGTGTCAGCGGCGGTCTTCTCCGAGCTCCCAGCCTCCCTGCCATCTGGGGAGTGAAGGAGCAGCTTCTTCTCTCGAGGAGCCGCCTCTGCATAAAGCGCCCTTTCCTTCTCGTCTAGACTTGCTGCGTCTCCAGCAGAGAAATGATTCTCCAACAAATTGCCAACATCTTCTGTGCCACCCGAAGTGGAAGCTTGCAGTTCTAAATGATTAGAACACGATTGGTCAGTTTCACAGGGTTGGCACTTGCTTTGCTCCTCAAAGAGTCTAACTCAAGCTAGCTCCCGTCCTTGGGAGGAGGTATGGACCTGGCGCGCAGTGGCTCACCCGACCTCCCTAGTCTTCATGACTGCCGCGTGCGGCAAGCAGCGCTGGTGTTATTCTGCCTCGCTCCCGAGATGTGGAAGTCGCAGCTGGGGCAGTTATAGACCTGCCGTCCATGACCAAGGGAGGGAGTGGATGGCCCACACCCAGGGCCCCACCCCTGACCCTGCTCTCAAGTCTCCCCACGGGGTCCTGATGATTGTGTAGCGATGGAAACATGGGAGAGCCCTTCCAGTCCTTCCTCAACCTTGTGCAGGCACGTGCAGCCTGGCTCACCGGGAGATCTTTCCAAGATAGGACAGATGCATGGATGGCCCACCCCTGTCAGTTCCTAGAGTCATTAACCACGCTTTTTATGCCGCTATCAGCAAAGGAGTGAAAACAGGTGTGTGCGGGCCAGATCATCTCAGGTTACACAGCAAAGTCCTCAGGGGATTACTTGTGGCTCTCTGCCTTACTAAGTCACACATCCAACTCTGTCCCCTTCAGGGCAGGCATTTGCTGGCCTCGCTACCTTAGATTAGAGGGGACGTGGCCTGAGGAGGAGGAGATAGCCAAACCAGGCAGGGCCAGGGCTTCCCGGTGGCCTTAGCCAACCCCTCCCGAGGGGATCCCCTTGTGAAGTTTGATCGCTTTAGCAGGATAGCCGAAGGCACGGGGAGAGCAAAGCAGGCGAGTGAGGTAGGGGCCTGGTCTGTGCCAGAAACCTCTGTCAAGGGACGTGTGTAATTTATATGGAAAACGGGGTCAGCAGAGAGGGTTGCCCCCTCCCGCCCAGGCTAAGACTCTTTAAGGAGGAGAGGGGATGCTGTAGGCTCACGGGGATGAGGGGACCCAAGGCCCCCTGCCTTGGGGAAGCCGAGACAGCCCCCAGGGGCAGCCTCCAGGGACCAGGAACAAATCTTTTCTCATTAGTCCCCACAGATGCAACCTACTTTCAAATTCAGAAGAATGGGAACTTTGGGTGCCTTTTATCCTAAAGGAGGCCCGTATATATATACAGCACTTCCCCAAGCACTTTCACATTCATGACAGCATTCAAACCCCCTTTAGTACCATCAACCAAATTTCAGAGCTAAAGGTCTGGAGAAAGTCTTTCACTTGCCCAAGACACCAGGTGGCTGATGGGTGACTGGAACCCAGAAGTGCCCACTCCTTGTCCAGGCCCTCCATGCCACGATGTGTAGGGTTTCACAGGGGCACCCCTTCCCACGGGTCCCTCCCCGTTCCCTTCATATGCCTTCTCTCCAGGCTCCTGGATTGCAGGAACCAAAGTTTAATTCTCTCTGTGTTTGCAGGGCGCGGACCCCGTCTGACCCACGAAAAGTGGTGGGAAGAGGTCCGTGGTGAGATTTGGGTACAAGACGAATTCCTGGTCCCTTAGTGGGGGAGCTGGAGCTACTCATTGAAAGTTTCTTTCATTGCCACCTGAATACCTGTCCATCCTGATTGCTTTGCCTGCATCTCTATCCCCGTCACCCTCTGGAAAAAAATCTATGGCAGGAACTTGGTTTAACCCAAGGAGACTGACAGTCCTCTGAGCAGCGAGATACAGATACTCTATCTCATATGAGATACATCTGTAGGATTATCCAGGGTGTCAGGCAATGCTTAAGCTCCTTATACATAAAACATTACTTACCTGATCTTATTCTACTTATTTACTCTTACTTGCTTCTGTGAAACAAGTCTCATTCCCATCCCCATTTTACAGATGAGAGGACTGGAATCAGAGACACTGAATGCCTTGCCCAACATCACACAGCTAGCAACTGGCTGACCATTTAACTCCAGAGCTGTAAAAGAGATTGCCTGACCCTAAGATGGGGTTCTACACCCACACTACTCAGTGTGGTCTGGGTGCCCTCAGCATCAGTGTCACCTGGGAGCTTGATAGAGACAGAGACTCTCCGGCCCCAGCCCAGACCCACTGAACCAGAATCCACATTTTACATGACTTTTTTTTTGAGGAGGAGGAGGATTAGGCCTGAGCTAATGTCTCCTGCCAATCCTCCTCTTTTTTTGCTGAGGAAGACTGACCCTGAGCTAACACCCGTGCCCATCTTCCTCTACTTTATATGTGGGACGCCTACCACAGCATGCCTTGACAAGCGGCACCATGTCCACACCCAGGATCCAAACCAGTGGACCCCAGGCTGCCAAAGCGGGACGTGAAAATTTAACCACTGTGCCACCTGGCTGGCCTCAAGAATCCACATTTTAACAAGATGCCCAGGTGATCCCTTTACACGTTACAGATTGAGAAGTGCTGGTCTACACCACCTGATAAAACTGCCTCTAAACCAGTGGTTCTTGGCATTGGCTGCATATTGGAATCACCTAGTTCTTGGTCCCACTCTCCCCCCCCCCCTCAGAAGTTCTGATGAAATTAGGGTGTATCCCCAGCATCAGGACTTCAACAAAAAAATTCTTGGGTAATTCTAACACACGGCCAAAGCTGCAAACCACTGCTAAACCAAATAATCCTGACCCAGAGGCTTCTGCTCCTGGCCCCTCTCCATTTTTGCGCCCACTGGGGGCTCCCAAGTTGGATGCGTCACCCAGGGATGACATGTGACCTTGGAATAGCAGTGAGCAAGGCTTCTCCTCTGGGGAATCTAGCCCTTTCCAAGGCCCCTGTTGCCCTCTACTATTGATGATGTTGACAATGATGATGATGATGGTGGTGGTGGTGATGATGGTGATGGTGGTGGTGATGGTGATGATGGTGATGATGATGATGGTGGTGGTGATGGTGATGATGGTGATGGTGATGGTGACGGTAGTGGTGGTGGTGGTGGTGATGGTGATGGTGATGATGATGATGGTGATGGTGATGATGATGATGGTGGTGGTGGTGGTGGTGGTGATGATGGCGATGGTGATGGTGATGATGATGATGATGGTGGTGGTGGTGGTGATGGTGATGATGGTGATGGTGATGATGATGATGGTGGTGGTGGTGGTGGTGGTGGTGATGGTGATGGTGATGATGATGATGGTGATGATGGTGACGGTGGTGGTGATGATGGTGATGGTGATGATGATGATGGTGGTGGTGGTGGTGATGATGGTGATGGTGACGGTGACGGTGGTGGTGATGATATGGGGCCAAAGAGACTCTGAGTCTGACCATCTGTGGCAGTACTGATATCTTCAAAACACCTTCTGTCCCCACTGGGGATGAGAGGGCTACACAGTCCCAAGGGAGATGAGTTCCCCAGACTTTGGAGGTTTCCTATGACCTTCACTCTGTTGTTTATTTCCACTCCTGGGCTCTGGACAGGAAGTCAGGTGCTTGCGTGCACATATACACGTTTACATTCATACTCTTCTGCGGTTTTTACAACTTAGGGCCAAGCTGCCCCTGACCTTCTGCTAAGCAATTTGGAGTGAAAAAGACTGAGAGTGACGACTTCATGCTCTATGAGCTTCCTTCACGGGCTAAAAATAACTTCTCTGACAGAAAGTCCCCCACTGAAACAAGCTGTGCCTTTGGGCCCCCAGAGCTCAAGTCCAGGAAGCAGCTGTGCCATTGGACCCCATCTCTCCTCCCTGAGGCAGTCAGAAGCTTCGAGACCTTCTGATTAAACTCAGTTCAATTCTGTGAAGTCAAACCCAGTGTGTTCCCTCCCTCCCTGACCTCCCTAGTGTCTTGCTGGAGCCCCCGAGTGGCCCCTGGAGGAGGAGGCAGGAGAAGGCTCAGAGGACCAGGATACTCTGGGTTGAGGGGTTGTACCTGATAAGATGAGTCTTGGCCTATCCTAGGACATGCAGTACCGTACTGTATGTGCTGTTGCCAAGGCAGCCACCCTGGCTCCGGACAGGCTTGGGTGCTTACGTCAAGATACGTGAATAGCAAGCCCCCAGCTCAGCCCTGGAGATCGTGGAAAGGCCTGTGTGACCGACAGGCTGGGGCCCCAGCCCTACTCACACCCAGGACAGAGCACAGCATAAACTGATTCTTCTTTCTCTCCCTACACCCCCTCTACAATAAGCATTTCTTTGGGGGTCAGTCCTTCAGCTGTTCCCCCCGCCCACAGCCTCAGCAGGAGCCCCAGGCTCAGTTCCTCTTGCCACTACCAAACACCTGACTTTTTTTCCCGGCTCCTAACTCATTCCAAAGCACTTTTGCATGAAGTCAGAGGACTGCGGAGCTGCCAAGGGCCTGGGTAAGTCCAACTGCAAAGGAGGAAGCTCTGGCCAGGGAGCTTTGCCCAAGGTCAGGGGTAGGGTTGGGACAGGGCCCATGTTCACGGCCCTCCGTCAGAGTTCTTTCTGCTCCCACGTAGTTGGCAAACCATGTCCCATGAAGCGCTAGGGTTTCGTGGAAGAGACTAGGCGTGAGAGAAGATGAGGGAGCAGGGGCTCACCACCCACTTTGTGCTTCCTGCCCAGCAGCTCTCCTTGGGTCTGTCTGACCCACTGCCTGAGGGGGCTGACAACCACTCTCCTGCCTCCTCCGCCTCTCCCCTCAAAAGTCCTCTCACCTCCTCTTGATCATTTCCTCCAGCAGCCCAAGGAGCCCCCTTACAGCATCTTTTCACTTTGCTGATCGGCTTATTCCAGGCACTGAGCTAGATGCTGCCTCACCTCCATACAGAACTTCATGCTTCCCAAAGTAGTTTCATCTTCCTCTTTCATCCTCCTGGCAGCCGTCTGAGGCAGGGAGAGCAAGGATTACTAACCGCTCTTGAAATAAGGAAGTAGACACAGGAAAGTCAAGCTGTTTGCTCAACAAGCCGTTCCAAGCACGGGCTAGAACTCAGTGCTCCTGGCCCACGTGGGGGTGGTGTCCATGACCCGCACAGCTTGCCAAGCACAGATGCCCAGGCTCCAGGTTGGGTCAGCGGGAACCTGAGTGTTTCACAGCTGATT